GTGTTTATGTATTAGGTAGAGGTGTTATGTCTCTCAGGATTATTAGAGTGACCTGATGTAGTTGGTGTTCTGTGGGGTCCAGTGGCACAGCCTACTTAATTACCCAAATTGGGCGCTCGAGTTGTACCCTTCATGTGAGCTATGTACACTCTTCTCTTGTAGTTGGGCCTTGATTGCTGTTGGCACATCAATGGGAGGGATTTACCCCCATGCTGATCAGCTTCATTGACTGTCTTGACCACTGACCACCGACCTTCAACCACCATGGAGGATCAGCTGTGCAGGAGCCCATGCCACAGAGCAGACTTACTTCAGTGGGGCTCTGATGTCTGCTGAGTCTAACCCTGAGTGTGTTGTTTGTGGCCTGAAGCCGCCCACTGGGTGCACTGGCTCTGGGGCCTTCTGGGAGGTGCAGGGCAAGGTCTGCCACCACCTATGTTCTGCCTGGGGCCACCCAGTATGAGCTACAAAGCAATATGCAGGTGGCTGCTACTTGTGCTGGGCTTGAAGGTGCCCTGGTGAGGCCAAGGCGTGAACCAAGACTGGCTGCTGCTAGTGCTGGGCCTGGGGCCACTTAATGAAAGGTAAGGAGCTTAGTGAGGGGCTTGCTGAAGTCAGATGCTGCTTGTTTGAGAGATTTTAGGAAAATTTGAAACATGACCCAAGACAGGCAATTCAAATGGGAAAGCTGGAAACAGCTTGAGTGGGCCCACAAATTGGGTGGGGTAGTGCCTCAGAGTCACCAGGGTGGAGTGAACTGTGTGTGCCAGGTTGATGGAGTCGCTGATATGGTGCCTGCCTGCCAGCTCTGTTGGGGGAAGGTTCAGAAAAGTAGCAATGGCCTCTGTCAGCACTTCTGCTGAGAGAAAGCTGTTCCCCCAGTTCTTGCCTTGATGCCAGAAAACTCATTTCCTTTTCATATGCCTCTGGTGCCTTTTAAGCTACTGCTCCAGCATGGGAGCTCAAAGGGAGTGAGTCTGGGTGAGTTTGTGTCTGGGGTTTTTAAGAAGAACTGTGGCTCCATGGATTGAGTGCTGGCCAGTGAACTGAAAGGACGCAGGTACGATTCGCAGTCAGGGCACATGCCTGGGTTGCAGGCCCAGTTGGGTGTGAGAGCCAACTGATCAATGTTTCCCTCCCCTCCTGTCTCTCTAAGAATAAATAAATAAGATCTTAAAAAAAAAAAAGAGGAACTGCCTGGGACTTCTGAAGCCCTTTGTCTTCCTCAACTTCATCCCTGCTTTCAGTCAGAAAGAAGTTTTCCTGACACTGGCCCTGGCCATGGGTTGGGGGCCTCAGCAGCCAAAATGCCCCTCCCTATTTTTATCTGCCACAGGTGGGCATGGGGCTAGCCCATTTTGTGTCTCTGCCCCTTCTACCTATCTCAGTGTGGCTTCTTTAATTCCCCAGTTGTAGGACTTCTGTTCAAGCAGGTTTTAGATGGTTTTGAATGGTTGTTGTTCTGTAGTTTGTTGTAGTTTTGATGTGGTTGTGGAAGAGGGTGAGTACCACACTTACCTATTCCAACATCTTGACTAAAATTTAGAAAAATTATTTTAAAATTTCAAAAAGCACCAACCTAGAAGTTTCCAAAGGAGGGTTGTATAAAACCTTTCAAACTTAGGTAATTCCAGTGCTGTCTGAACTATACTAGAAAACTGAAAAAGGACAATTTCCACATTGTTCATGAAGCAAATATAACATTGGTACTAAACTCTGACAAAGTTAGCACAATAAAAAAGAAAGTCATGGAGCAATGTCACTTATTAATATGAATTTCAAAATCTAAAATAAAATATTAGTGGGCAGAATTTTACAGCACATTAAAAATAATATATTTTGATAGAATATATAATTGAATGTAATATATTAGAAGAATAAATGTGCAGAACATCATTAGAGAATAGTGTAATATGAAATAATAGAGTCTAGAAGAGGAACATAACAACATATATTTATATTTCCTTATTTTTCATAAACAAATGCAGACAGTGATAAGAATTGTTACCTGGTAGAAGAGGAGTGGTAATGGGAAGGCTGGACTGGGATAGGAGTGGAAGACAGATGTTTCTTGACTTCTTTTTTTTTCTTTCTTTTTGATTAAATCTTTATTGTATTTTTTTCTTTACCATTTAGTGCCTGTATACCCTCCTCCCACCCAGCAATCACCACACTGTTATCCATGTCCATGAGTCCTTTTTCCTTTTTGCTCAATCCCTCCACCCTCTCACCCCACCCCACTGGCTGTCATCCTGCTCTCCATCTAGGAGTCTGTCACTGTTTTGCTTGTTAGTTCAGTTTTTCACTAGGTTCCACATATGTGTGAAATCACATGATATTTGTCTTTCTCTGATGGGCTTATTTCACTTAGCATAATGTTCTCCAGGTCCATCCATACTGTTGCAAAGGGTAAAATTTTCTTCTTTACGGCTGGGTAAGTATTCCATTGTGTAAATGTCCCATAGTTGTATCCACTCATCTATTGATGGACACTTGAGCTGCTTCCATTATCCTGGTGGTTGTAAATAACACTGCAATGAACATAGGGCTCTCATGTTCTTTCAGATTAGTGTTTTGGGTTTCTTCGGGTATATTCCCAGAAATGGGACCACCAGGTCAAAATGCAGACCCATTTTTAATTTTTTTTAAATACATTTTATTGATTATGCCATTACAGTTGTCCAATTTCCCCCCTTCATTCCCCTCCACCCTGGACACCCCTCCCCCACCATTCCCCCCCTTTAGTTTATGACCACGTGTCTCAAGTTCTTTAGATTCTGTATTTCCCATACTATTCTTGCCCTCCCCCTTATCTATTTTCTACCTACCGTCTATGTTACTTATTTTCTGTACCTTCTCCCCCCTTCTCCTTCTCCCACTCCCTTGTTGCTAGCCCTCCATATGATCTTCATTTCTGTGGTTTTGCTCCTGGTCTAGCTTCCTCTTAGTTTGCTTTTGTTTTAGGTGTGGTTCTTAATGACTGTGAGTTTGCTGTCCTTTCACTGTTCATATTTTTTATCTTTTTTCTTAGATAAGTCCCTTTAACATTTCATATAATGAGGGTTTGGTGATGATGAACTCCTTGAATTTGATCTTATCTGAGAAGCACTTTATCTGTCCTTCCATTCTAAATGAAAGCTCTGCTGAATAGAGCAATCTTGGATGTAGGTCTTTGGATTTCCTGACTTGGAATACTTCTTTCCAGCCCCTTCTTGCCTGCAAGGTCTCTTTTGAGAAATCAGCTGACAGTCTGATGGGAACTCCTTTGTAGGTGACTGTCCCCTTATCTCTTGTTGCTTCCAGGATTCTCTCCTTCATTTTAATCTCGGCTAATGTAATTTTGATGTGCCTTGGTGTGTTCCTCTTTGGGTCCAACTTCTTTGGGACTGTCTGAGCTTCCTGGACTTCCTGGAAGTCTATTTCCTTTGCCAGATTTGGGAAGTTCTCTTTTTATTATTTGTTCAAATAAGTTTTCCACCTGTGGCTCTTTCTCTTCCCCTTACCCCTCTGGTACCCCTATGATTTGGATGTTGGAACATTTAAAGATGTCCTGAAGGTTTCTAAGTCTCTCCTCATTTTTTTGAATTCTTGTTTCTTCATACTTTTCTGTTTGGTCATTTTTTTTCTTCCTTCTGGTCCACTCCCTTGATTTGAGTCTCAGTTTCCTTTTCATCACTATTGGTTTCCTGTGCATTTCCCTTCATTTCAATTAGTTTAGCCTTCATATGTTCCTCTAATTTGTGACTAAAATCAACCAGTTCTGTGAGCATCCTGATCACCAGTGTTTTGAACTGTGCATCTGATAGGATGGCTATTTCTCGGTCACTTAGGGTTATTGGCTCTGGGGCTTTGAGTTCTTCTTGAGCCATGTTCTGGTCTGTTCTTGCCTGTTACATACGAGGAGGGGAGCCCTAGGTGTTCACCAGGGCAGAGCAACCGGGTCGCTGGGTTGTGATGCTGTATGTGGGAGTGGGGTCAAAGAGGGGCAATGGCAGTCCCCTCTGCTACTTCCCACTGCTGGGGCCTGCACGGTCTGTCTCACTGCTCGCTCCTTCACCCGGTTTATCTGTGCGCGAATGTGTGATCACGGTCAGCCTGCCACCTTGCGCTCTCACTGGGTCTGCCCATTGCTACCCCATGCCTGGGATCCACCAATGGCTGCCTGCATGCTTGGGCTGGTCCAGGGGATCTTTCCTGCCTGACTCTGTTCTTTCGCTGCCTCTGCCCCTCTTACTGGTCTGGCTGAACAGTTCGTTGTTGTCGGACTTCCATATAGTTCAATTTTCTGTGTTTTGGTTGAGTTTATGTTACTAAAACTTTGTTGTCTTTAAACTTGGTTGTGCGAGGAGGCACAGTGTTTCCATCTACACCTCCATCTTAGCTGGAAGTCCCTTGACTTCTTTTTCATAGTTATTCTTTTAACCATTTTCACATGTTGTCTAGTCAAAAAATAAAATTAGTTTTGAAGAAAAGAGCTGTATTTCTGTCCTTTGTTCAGTGCTAGATTTCTTATGTATTAATTCATGCAACAAGCATTTGTTTGCAGACAGTGTTCAAGTTTGATTGTCACTCACTCAGGCTTTTTTGAAATTTCTGCCTCCGTGGGTCAAGGCGACATTTATGTAGTCTCCCTTCAAGTGTGAATGTTCAAATCCACATGTCTGGCTGTAGAGGTTAGGGCCCATTTCTGGAAATGGACCCTTCTATAAACTCTCTGTGACCTTTGTAACTGGCCAACCTCCATTCCACAGACAGAACCTTAACTCTTCTGTTGTGCTTCATTCAGACAAACAGGAGGCAAGTGTGGGACCAAATAATTGGATTTAACTGTCTATATTGACCAAATGGACTATATATTTCTTCTCAAAGTCATGAGATATGATGGAGAGCTGGTTCCCCATTGGCCCAGAAGCAGCAGCGTGGTCCCTGAATGGACTCCGAGGGCCAGCCCGGGGAACCACAGTGCTTGCTGCTCTGGGCCTTTGTCTGCTTGCTAACAGAGACATCATCACTCTCGTGGCTTGAGTGTTTTCGATATACACTGTTTCCCATCTTTTTGAAAGTCTGGCTGTAAGTATTATGCAGTTGTCCCATAAGCACCTTTACAATCTGTGTGCTTCTTCTGATGATGGTGAGAAATGAAACAGAGAAGGGGGGTGGGTGGGCAATACCAAACATTTTCTATTGCTTTCCAAGAACACTGGTACAGGGCAGTGCCACAAATGGTGGATGGGACCGCTTGGGCAGGGGCTGGGCATCTGGCCTGGGCATCGCACTGTCCACACTGGTGTATGTTATCTGCCCACAGTGCATTCTGAGGGTAAGTGGGAACCAAAAAGTAGGAGCTGTCTTTAACGCCATTGGGTACTATGTGATTGATCTCCCCATTGGGATTTCACTGAAGTTTACAACCAGATTGGGAGTGATCAGTAAGCACTAACTGCAGGCAGGCAGGGCTGAGTTTCTCACTGACAGAAGTGACTCTTAGAGCAGGTAGGCTTTCACTGAGAGTGCTGGCACTTCGGAGCTTTTCCACATTCATCCTGTGCCAGTTAGAGGTTACAGGTGGGGTGGGGTGGAGTGGGGGCGGCGGGCAGGAGGGAGCAAGGCTCAGGGCTGCATGATCATGCCCTTCTTGACAATGTGAGCCATCTCCCACACTCACTCTCTGGAGTGCAGCAGCGTGGCCTTTCTACTCATCCCCCATGGGATGGCATGGAGTGTCCATGTCAAAGTAGGTGGTAGTAGGGGCTGCTGTGGAAGCATTCAAATATTTTCCTGTTGTGGTTCCAGCCCTGTTCTTTGGGGACAGCTCTGTATGGTGAGACCTGGAGAGGGAGACTGCAGGACTGACTGAGGCTGTCGAAAGCTGGCCATGTGGGGATGTTTGGGATGGTGGTAGGGGGAGCCACAGGACAGCCTTGGTGTGGTTCTTACAGAAGTGGTAGGAGCACCCATGATGGCTGCATACATCCTGGAGCAATGCCTTCAGCCGGCGATGCCTCTGGCAGGACTCACAAGGAGTGGTCCCCAAGTTGCACCCACCAGGTCACCTTCACCACCACTCTACAGCCTCATCTCTGGCCTGGTGCAACCCTTTAAGCCTTGTGTCCTTGGGTCTCCCTGAAAGGCCATGTGTGTGCTGTGAGTGAACACACAAGGAGGGCAGGGAGGAGGGGACCTTTTCATCGTCTTAATACATTTGGAAGAAAGAACTTAATCTACAGGGCCTGAAATTACCAGACTAATTTTTTTTTAAGTAGGGAAAGAAATGACTTCCCAGCTTTGATTTCTAAAATAATAATTTGGACTTCCGCCAAGATGGAGGCATAGGTGGAGACACAGTGCTTTCTCACACAACCAAGTTTAGAGACAACGAAATATTAGCAACAGAAAACATAGCCAGAACACAGAAAATTGAACTTTTCGGAAGTCTGAAAATAATGAATTCTTCAGCCTGACCGGTAAGAGAGGCGAAACCAGCAGCTGGCAAAGTGGGGTTGCACAGGAAAACTCGGTCAGATGGACTCAGGTGCGAGGATCCCAGGCGTGGGGTTGCAAAGGGCAAACCCAGTGAGCAACCTAGTGAGCGCGACCCAGTGAGCGACTGGCGGATCCGGTGAGGGTGAAGGGCAGCGGGTTGGCTGTGCTGGCGCATTCCTGTGCAGATAGACCAGCGAGGGAGTGGGCAGTGAGATGGGACCAAGCGGGTCCCAGTGACAACAGGAGGCAGCAGAGATGACCGTCATTTCCCGGCTCTGACCCCGCCCCCACATTCAGTGTCACAACCCAGTGACCTGAGTGTCCCTACCCTGGTGAACACCTCAGGCTTCGCTCCTTACCCAGTGACAGGAAGCAGGAGAGGGGGATGCCATTTCCCCACTCTGACCTCGCTACCACATACAGCGTCACAAACCAGTGACCCTGCCCTGGAGGCCCTGCCCCGCCCCTAAGGCTCCGCTCCTCATACTAAATGGGCGAGAACAGACCAAAAATGGCTCAAGAAGATCTCAAAGCCCCAGAGCCCATAAATCTAAGTGATGTCAGAAATAGCAAAACTTTCAGATGCACAGTTCAAAACACTGGTCATCAGGATGCTCACAGAACTGGTTGATTTTAGTCACAAATTAGAGGAACATATGAAGGCTAAACTAATTGAAATGAATGGCAATGCACAGGAAACCAATAGTAATGGAAAGGAAACTGGGACTCAAGTCAAGAATTCAAAAAAATGAGGAGAGACTTAGGAACCTCCAGGACATCTTTAAATGCTCCAGCATCCGAATTATAGGAGTATCAGAAGGGGGAAAGGAACAGCCACCAGTGGAAAACTTTTTTGAATAAATAATAAAGGAGAATTTCCCCAATCTGGCAAAGGAAATAGACTTCCAGGAAGTCCAGGAAGCTCAGACAGTCCCAAAGAAGTTGGACCCAAGAAGAAACACGCCAAGGCACATCATAATTACATTAGCCAAGATTAAAATGAAAGAGAGAATCCTGGAAGCAGCAAGAGATAAGGGGACAGTCACCTACAAAGGAGTCCCCATCAGACTGTCAGCTGATTTCTCCAAAGAGACCTTGCAGGCAAGAAGGGGCTGGAAAGAGGTATTCCAAGTCATGAAATCCAAAGACCTACAACCAAGATTGCTCTATCCAGCAAAGCTTTCATTTAGAATGGAAGGGCAGATAAAGTACTTCTCAGATAAGATCAAATTCAAGGAGTTCATCATCACCAAGCTCTTATTATATGAAATGTTAAAGGGACTTATCTAAGAAAAAGAAGATAAAAAAGATGAACAGTGAAAGAACAGCAAACACACAGTTATTAAAAACCACATCTAAAACAATAGCAAGCTAAAAGGACAGCTAGATCAGGAGCAGAACCATAGAAATGAAGATCTCATGGAGGGTTAGCAACAGGGGAGCGGGAGGAGAAGGGGGGAGAAGGTACAGAAAATAAGTAGCATAGATGGTAGGTAGAAAATAGGGGGGAGGGCAAGAATAGTATGGGAAATACAGAATCCAAAGAACTTGAGACACATGGTCATGAACTAAAGGGGGGGAATGGCAGGGAGGTGCAGGGTGGAGGGGAATGAAGGGGGGAAATTGGACAACTGTAATGGCATAATCAATAAAATAAAAATAAATAATAAAATAAAATAATAATTTGGAAGGCATTGGAAATTAGTCAATGATTATATTGAAGTTTGAACACACTATCTTTGGGTGACATTGAAGTTGACTTAAGCCTGTTTTATTTTCGTCCATCAGCACTTGGTAGGTTCAGAGAGGATGAGAAATCATCTGATACCTCAAAGGAACTTTCAGTCCAAAGTGTCTCATTACGTTGCACATTTTTCTCAAGTTCAATAATATTTAAATTAAAAATAAATGGAATGGGCCTGGCTGGTGTAGCTCAGTGGATTGAGCGCGGGCCTGCAAACCAGAGTATCGGGGTTTGATTCCCAGTCAGGGCACATGCCTGGGTTGCAGGCCAGTTCCCAGCAGGGGACACACAAGAGGCAACCATATATTGATATTTCTCTCCCTCTCTCCTTCCCCTCCCCTCTAAAGATAAATAAATAAAATCTTAAAAAAATATGGAATGTATAAAGAATGGAGTTGCCAATGCAAAGTTCACTGGGCTTGCATACTGGTGCAGAAAATTATTTAACCAAGTTCCTAGCATTACTCATTTTTTAGATTTGACAATGGCATATAGCTATGGGAAATATATGAGGAGTCCACTTAAAAATATAGATGCATCTATGTCCCCAGTGCTGTACTAGGATCATTAATTTATTTAACAAACATACATACTATGTGCAAAGTACAGATAGTTAAGAATCGCTTAAAAGAAATTCTGGTGCAAACTTCCAGCTGTAAAATAGATGCCATGGGGATGTCGTATACAGCATGGTGACTGGCTGCATTGTCTATTTCAAGTTGCTAAGAGACAATCTTAAAAGTTCTCATCATAAGAAAACACACTAACTATGGGTGGTGATGGATCTTAACTAGAATTATGTGGTAATTGTTTCACAATACAGTTGATCCTTGAACAACATAGATTTTAACTGCTCAGGTTCATTTGTATGTGGGTTTGTTTCAATAACTACAGTCAGCCCTTTAAAACCTCAGATTTCACATCTGTGGATTCAACCAACCACAGATAAAAACCAGTATTTTTGTGTGTGGGAGATATGTCCTGCAGAGCCCCCACCCTGGCCATCACAGATGAGAATAAGTCTACCGAGACATCTGCTTATGGAGAAAAGATGGCCAATCTCTCAAAGGAGAAGGGCCTTGAGCCCATAGAGGAACATCCTCTATGGGCTTTTATTGGGTTCAATTTGCACAGGAGTACAGGTAAAGCTCAGCAATCATTGTCAGGCAGTAAGGATCAAACAATAGATGACATTCAAAGAACTATGAGGGCTTATTCTGAGTCAGGGTCAGTTAGCTAAAGGGCCATACAACTTTGGGGAACAAACTCATTTCATGCTTTGACGCTTATCAAAAAATTGAGGGCATTCTTAGTATAGCAGGCTTTACAGGATTTTATGCATTCTTTCTTAGGTCTGATAGCCCCAGGGAATTACTGTTCCTGCCCAGGACTGCACTGCCCTCTGGCATTGTTTCAGGCTTAAATCAGGCAGGAGAAGTAAGGCAGCCAAGAGATTAGGAGACTTCTTACAGACAGAATGAGGACTCAGGCTATGTCAAAGTGGAGGGACAAGGGTCCATCACCCCTTTTTCTATAACCCCCCCAAGTCCTTTTCTGGGGGCCCCTTTGTGACTATGCCTGTCTTAGGTCATCTCTCCCTTAAGGTATCTTACCCATTATTAGCTAACCAGTCATCTGCCTGAGGCCAAGCAGGGTAAAGTAAAGAGGACAGAGGTGGCACTACTGCCAGGAAGATAAGCTTTGTCTCCTTGGTGGCTTATGGTCCCAAGGCCTTTTTACTCAGCCTTAGCCATGGGGGGTTACAGCTTCTGAAACCAGGCAGGGTGGTTCCCAACATTTATATATTTCCAAAATCAGTTTCCCAACTGCAGATTGAAAGTACTGTTTTTGATTTGTGGTTGGTTGAATCTGAGGATGAGAAAGGTCAACTATAGTTAGGTTTTGGGAGAGTCAAAAATTATATGCAGATTTTTGAGTGCATAGTCATGTGCACCTTTAACCTCTTCATTATTCAAGAGTCAAGTGTATGTACAAATATTGAATTATTGTGTTGTTCACCTGAAACAAATATAATGCTGTAAGCCAATTATATCTTAATAAAAAATGTTGGGGAGAGAGTGGGCCTCTGGGAGAAGACTGCAGTCAGTGTCTGCCACACTCATTTTTAAGAAAAGTATAGTTCCAACTGGTTTTAAGGATGATGTCACCTCTGGTGGGTGGGCAGTGAACCTACCCAAGGTGCTCAAGGAGTGTCAGAGTGCCACAGGTTCTTGTGGGTGGCTCCAGTCTAATTTCTTGGGAGGCTTTCCAGATACACAGATTCCTGGGCCCTGCCCCAGGGGGTCTGATAATCATCCTATTGTAGGGTTCTTAGGTTGAGTCAAACAGCAATCTTTTAATTATTGTATAGTGAAATCCTGGAAATCTAATTCACAACTTTCAAATTGCAGCTGGAGATAGTTGGTTATATTCTGTTCAAGATGATTAGAGTGAGCTTGTAGTCTTTATGGCTCGAGAACACTGGATCTGATGTGTATGTGCTTTTACTAGTCTGTATGGGAAGAGAAGGTAGTCACCAACTCTATTCTAAATATCATGCTGATCACATCAGTGTGAAAATGTGATCTGAGAGTGATTGGTACCAAGGAGCAGAGTTGAAAACTTTGCACTGAATTTGGGCACCTCCACCTGTACACCATTGCCCCAGTCTAGCTGCCTTTAGTTTACCCAGATTCAGAATTTAACAGAGACCAAGCAAATGGGCAAAGCAAAGGCCATTTATTTAGAGCTTGTGTTTTGCCAGAGACTGAAAGGCAGGCAGAGGAGTGGTAGAGCCTCACAGCAGCAGGAAAGAGGAAAGGCCCAGGTGGGTCCTGAGGGAGGATGCTGGCCCAGGGAAGCTGGGAGAAGGCTGATGAGAAGTGGGGTATTCTGTGTGACTGGTCAGCAGTGTGTGTGTGTTTTCTGGCTGCTCCTAAGTTGGAAGCAGGGACAAAAATCAGGGAAGCTGTTACTTATTTATCAAGTCTTGGCCATCTTGGGTCAGTTGTTGCAGAAAGCATTATTGAGTTTCCTAGTTTGGCCCTAGAGAGAGCAGTCTGGCCTCCCATAAAGCTGAAGTACAGCACACTGGCTTCTGGAGTGTTTATTGCAGATAATGAGTTGAGTGTTCAAACAGGTTGCTTTAGGTTGTGGGTCAAAATTCTTTTTTTTAAATATGGTTTGACCTTTGTCTGTTTGTATGTTTATTCTCTCACAGCTATTGTTAAGAGTTTCTGATGTCATTAGTTCACAGTTGACTTCAAAACCCTCATCCCTTGGGGTTTCCCTCTGTGTTTGTATGGTACTTGGGAACCTACAAGGCTTTTCCCGGTGCTCCACTTCCTTTTAGCCTGTCCTGCTGTGTCATCATCTCCCTGCAGATAGCCCTGCCCAGGGAGCTCCTGAAGTGAGCAAGATTCTGCAGGCAGCTCCAAGGGAGAGCTTTAGACCTTTAGAGGCTGGTGACTTCTGCCTGTTTAACATGTTTGTTCCATTTTTTAAGAAAATATGGCATCATAGCTTGGTAGTGCTATTAGAAATAGGAAGTTGTTTGTCCTGTAAATGTTATTTCCTTATAACTGTCACTTTTCTTAAGAGCTAAGCATTGTGATTCTGAACAAATGTCCTGAGATCCCAAACCCCAAGAAGTAGGGAGTACTGGGCCTTCCAGGACCTTCTGAATGCCAAAGGAAAGGGCTGAAGGAGTCTCTGGCTTAGGCTCAGCTGTGCACAGAGGTTATCAGAAGTGAGACAGGAGAAACACTCCCCAAGGGTGGCCGGTTTCCCATAGAATTAACCTCTTTTAAATATTTCCACTTCTAGATCTGTGGGCAGGGATTATCCTCTGCACAATCTGTCAAGCTGTGTGTTTTCTAGGCTTTATTGCTCAGCTGAATTGGGAAGGAGCCTGTCAACAGGTAACTATTCTCATCGCTGTCCCAGGAAAGGTTCCCTTCCTAGAAAACAAGCATAATCAGTGTGCCCCCTCTCTCTCTGTCTCTCTCTCTCTCATTTTGGAAGGTTCTTTCTCTTTGTATCACAAAGGCTACTTTCTTATTGTTTTAACTGCATTTAATTCAGATGTGAAGAGCCAGATGACCCTTGCTTTATCCATTCACCTTATGCCTAAAAAGCCTATTTCAGGACAAAATTTGGAACTGGAGAGATAGGTGGGACACCATCAAATTTATCCTGATACTGTTTTTTTTTTACAGTCCTCAAATATTCCATTAAGATACTTGTGTGCATCTTTCCAACTTTCTAGGGTCAATGTGGGATCTGAAAAATAGGTGATAGCTAAATGAGATGAAGGAACAAGTAGAGATAACTGTAAATGACCTTGGTCCCCATCTTCCGCCTCATCTTGTCCTTATCTGTCCAATCTTCCCCACCCACTGAGCCCTGTCAATCATTCTAAACATGACTCCATACTTGTGACCTGGAGAAGTGCTAATGTTTCATGTTAGTTAGAGACAATGGCTTGACTTTTCCTAAACTGGGGAGTCAAGTCAAATGTTTTAACAACACAGTAAAGCCTGGTGGATTTACTGTGTATTTCTTCTTGTAGGCTCAGGTACATGCCAGTTTGATATGGAACATAGCCCTGGATGGGACTCCTCCCTCTCAGGGCTTCCTTTGCCTAGGTATGATGTCACTGCCTCTCTAGGTGGTCCTGCAGGGTTCATCTGTGGGACACAACTGGACTTGCTGCCCTGAGCCCCCATTTAAATAGGGCAATAATGTTTCTGAAAAAATAATAAGATTGAGAAATGCCTAGTTTGAAGCAAATAGACTCAATATTTGTTTGCTGTAATTTCAGGCATTAACATACTGCTGTAGATGATTGAAGATTGCAGGTAGCCAACTCCTAGCTCATTTATGGAGCTCATTCAAGCATTCATTCTAGGGACACTCCTAATGCATGGTGATGCTGTGCCTTGACCTCATCTTGGAAGCTGACATTTGTATGTTGTTTCCATGGCATTCTCCTGTTTGTCAGGCAAATGTAGGCTTTAAACAGATCATTGTTTTGGCTTTTGACCGTTGCTTCTGATGTACACCATGCAAATGTGTTTATCATTTTTCATCAGTTTAGTAGTCCCCCAGGTTCATTCCTGAGGCATCTAGCCATGCTCTCACACTGTTCTTTTGCTGCTTTGTAATGGAAACCCTTTTGAGTCCATAGACTGGCTGAATTACAGTCAGTGGTCAGTTCTGTGGTTTTGGTCGGATCTCATTCATGTGTCTAGTTTCCTTCGTGCCTGGTTATCTCTGATTGTGTTCTAGACTTTTGTATCTGAAAATTGTCTGTCAAAGTAATCTGAGGCCTCAGGTGATGTTATCTTTCTTCTGAGAGGATATTCCTTTGCTTCTGTCCAACACTTATGGTTACTAGCAGTCTAGAGCAATTCCAGAAATGGATGTTTCTGGACCACGCAGCTGAGCCAAAGGTGACTAGTGTAAGGGCCCATTTACTTCTGGTTCATCCTTAATTCTTGGATGCAGCCCTTCAGAACTCCAACCTGGAGTGTGGAGAGGTTTGCCTGGGTTGCTGTCAAGCTTTCCAAAGTGCTGTTTGGTCCACATGGAGATCTCTTAGGTCAACAGTGACCCCAGAGCCCAGTTTTCACCTGCCCTAGATCTTGCCTGGTGACTGACTTTTCATTACATTGTTAGTGCTCTGGCACCTTCAAGGTGATAGTTTTCATTTATTTTATCCAGGTTTTGTAGTTATCTTCAGAGAAGGAGTCAGTCCAAATTTTCTACCATCTACCATTTGTTAAAAGCTAGGATAAGAATAGTGCTAACCTCTCCCTGCAGTTGAGAGTTCGGGGACTCACACTGTGAGCACCAAGCACAGTGCCTGATTCACAGTAAGCCTTTGTAAGCACAAGGTAATGTCATTCTATTTGAAGTTGTTTTCTCCCAGAACTCCAAGGACATTGTCATATGACTACTACCAACTGACATTTACTAAGAAGTGAATGCCAGTCTCATTCTTGTTCTGTTAGGTTATCTGCCCTTATTTTTCTCTTGGGAAGATTTTAGGATATTTTTCTTATTCTTGCTATTCTGAAGTGTCATGAGACTAAACCCAGGGGTCAGAGTCACTATCATGCCAGGTACTTAGCATGCCTTCTGAGAAAGGATTCACATGTCTTCAGTTCTGTGAATGGCCTTGAGTTATATCTCTTTTCTGTTGACTTTGTTTCCTTTCTGAAATTATACAGGTGTTGGCCCCTTGAAAATTTCCCCTACAAACCTTAACTGAGAGAGCTGCCACATTTTCCTAGTTCCAGCTGTGGGAGAGGCACCCGGAGGCCCTAGGCCAGCAGCAGGGATGGCCATGCCTATGAGTCAGAATCTCCCAGTGTAGCACTGCTTCCTGAACAGACTTTCTCCCAGACAGTAACACATGCTACACATCACCTTTTATATATCTGTCATACCGATGGAGAAGGTCTTTTCAAGCTGCTAACTAAGTTCCTTCTCCCCTCAGTGGGTCCTGAGAGCCATGAAGAAAGTTTAATGACAGATGTTGAAAAAGAAGATGAGACCCAGTTGGATCAGCAGATGCACCAAGAAGAACATCTTCGGATCTATCCAAAAAACATGAAGAAGTTGACTGGGAGACAGTTGGTGCTGTGGCGAGTGAGGGCTTGTGCTTCTTGGGGCCATTTTAGTCTTGCTGGTGGGGATTTTAGTGAGAGTATGTGTTAGAACTTAGTGATGTGGCAAGAGAGAAGGAGTCTGATCAAGTGATACTTTTGAGCCCACAAGCAAATAATTCTTAGGCCCAAAGATGGGAATTTGTTTTCAGTGAAGGTCATTCAACTATGCCCATGAATTTCAGGAACTGAGAGTTCAAAGATATGTTTTCTAATGAAGAAAATGAACTAAGATACAAAACTATGTTCTAGTCCAAGACAATGTCTCTAAGATTGCATTAGAGTAGTAATTCATCCACCACTGTCTGAACCAAGGGCCATTGTGTGCTCACTACCTTCATTTATGGCTTCGATGTTCTCCTTGCTGGTTTTTTTTTTTTTAGATAGAAATCCATGTACTGAGTGCTTAAGGATTGTTGCTGTCTGAATTATTTAAAATATATGATTATGTTACAAATAGCTTTCCTTGTGCCTGAGATTATTATTCAATGAAAAATGACATTGTTAATATTCATTTGGGGTCAGATCTCAGGCACTGGAGATGCTTAGGAAACAAATAGGAGTCCAATGGCATCAATTAACCAACTGCCTGTTGAGGGCCTGGTATCATGGCCGGTCTGGGCTGACCCGGACAGGCAGGGACCAGGAGGGGTGAAGCTGCCGGCTAAGGCCCCACTGGGAACCAGCACTTCATTTTCTCTAGAGTGGTGGGCATCCCATAGAGAGAAATAAGGGGTTTGAAGAGCTAACTGGGGGCAGAAGTCAGGCCTTTTTCTACTTTGAGAGAAGGGATCATGAAGTTGGGATGCAGCAGAAAGGAGGCTGTTAGGAGAGGCAAGGTTGGGGTCCTGGCAGGACCCCAGGACCTCTGTTTTTCTTCTGTTTGGGTCTGTTCTTATCTAAAAAAGGCATGGGATTTTGGTGGCAGACATGGTGTGTATCAAGGAGGTTTTATGTGGCATGTCTCAGAAATGAGGAGGTCTTATGAATGCTCCCTTCTCCCTGGCCTTAGAAAATCACTGGGGAAGTCTTAGAGTGATGGAATGCAAACAATCATTGCTAAATTCCCCTGGGGACGGGGGGAGCTGTGTCAGAGCACAAAGGCTCAATCACAGCAGTAGGGTAAGTGGAAACCACATTAGATTCAGCATTCTGGGGGAATTTCCACACCCTTAGCTCCGGAAGCCTCAGCACATGTTCAGAATGTTGCATGCTGGGATGGATGCAAAGGCCTCTGCCATGCAAGGTCAGGTAACAGACGCTGTCAGAAAAGTCAGTGACTGTGAGTGAAACACCCTGCTGCTGCCATGTAACATGTAAAGTTTATTAAGGAAAGTGTGTCTCTTAATGAACCAAGTGTATTTCAGTTAGTGTGATTTGTGAAGGGACTACACTCCCAAGATATGGGAGTGCTCATCTCCTTGCCTACAAGGAAATGACCTCTTCTGCCCAAGAGATGTGGGTTTTAAAAAGACTGGGTTTCTCTGAACCCTTTATCTTGTTTCCAGGCTTTTGGGAGTGCATGAGCCAAGGGGCAAATTCCTTTTTGTGGGCTTCTTACTGTGCATGCTTAGTTACATAACCATCAAGCTTGTGTGGGGGAGGGGCACTCCCCACAATTCCCCTTGAGTGCCTTCTCAGGGTCAAACAGAAATGCTAATTATAGAATGATCATTAAGTGGGGTGAAACAGAGGTTAACTACCAATAAAGCTACCTGTGGGCAGGCATGGTCTCTACCTAGGTGCTAAAAGGCATTTTCTGGCAACTAGGGTGCTAGGCGCTAGCCAGCCACAGTTGCACAGTCTCAGAGTCCCTCCATTGCTATGCTATCTCCTCCCTCAACTTCCCCCTGAGATGCATGGAGGCAGGTTTCAATATATATGTAAACATATATATTGAAATTTTAACCTGGAAAACCTCGATGTATAATGAAAACTAAGAAGTAATCAATTAGCATTATTTAGCTTGGACATTTAATATAATCTCTAGAAACTTCTTTCATCCACATAAAATGTCCATTATTAACATGGTCTTATTTTTGTAAAACCCCAGGCAAGATGAAGACATTTCTGTTATTCGTAAACCAACAACTTAGGCTAGCTTTTATTTATTAAGGATTAATTTTAACTTATGTGAATTTGAAAAGTAATTGAGTTAGTTTCTATATTTCTGAGAATTTTAGAGTACCCAATTCTTACAAGTGCTTGCCTTTAAATTAATTTTAATTCTATTACCATCCAGAGATGGAAAATTATCTCCCATTTACAGTATATGTGTCACAAACAGAGAATAGTTAAATCCATTTTTTTTGGAGGCATTTACAATTTAGTTCTATCTTTGGCAAGTCAAGTTCCAAGAGACCTTTCCCCTGTAGAGTGAGGACAGCCATTTTAAAAAAATATTTTATTTATTTGTTTTTAGAGAGAGGAGAAGGGAATAAGAAAGAGGGAAAGAAAAATCAATGTGTGGTTGCCTCTTGTGTGCCCCCTACTGGGGAGCTGACCTGCAACCCAGGCATGTGCCCTGACTGGGCATTAAACTAGTGACCCTTTGGTTTGCAGGTCAGCACTCAATCCACTGAGCAATACCAGCCAGGGCAGGACAGCCATTTTTAACAAGGACAAACCTTTAAGAGTCGGGCTTATACCTAAATGACTTCCTAAGTTGATTTATTTATCTAAAACCTATTTTTGAAGCCTCCAGAGACCAATTAAATACGTTTCCATTTATTCTGCCTAATTCTGTAGCCAGCCTTTTCTCATTGTGCATGCAAAATTAACTTGGAAGGATCAAAGAAACTTCATTCCGGTCACCTTAGCAGTAATGGGAGGCTGACTGTGGTGGGCCTTGTTAGCCTGGGAGGCATGATTTCCCACATTAATTTCGAGATCTGTAGAGTCTGTATAAACTTTGAGGGAAAGTCAGGCTTTGCCAGCTCGTCTCCTGATGAGCCAGTGCTGGGGACATCCCTGTGGCACTGCTGCACATTCCAGAGGGAGTTTGCCCCAGGCAATCCCCCTCCAGGAGTTGCCTCCTCATCTGAGAATAGTCAAGCAAGGGCCTGCAAGAGCTAACGGGACCCCTGTCAGAACCCCAGTGTTTTCTAAGGCTCGGGCTCCTCCCTTGGGTGCATCTGTCCCAGGGCCCCCTGCCCTTTTCCCTGGGGCTCCCACCAGCTCCTTTGAGATCAGCTGCATTACCACAGTGGACACCTTCTGGCTCCCTTCGCTGCCACTTGGGATCCAGGGGTCTGAGCAACTATCATCAACCCATTGACTATTGCTCCTTCAAGATGAAGGAGCAAGTGCCCCTTCTCTCTCCGGATGAAAGAGTTTAGCCTCTTATTTAATCAGCAAAGATTTTGTTCAGACTTTCGGTAAGCAATCCAATTAAAAAGCCAAATTTAAAGGTACCAACTTATTTTTTCTCTTTCCCTGAGTTATCTCAATCCTTATCCACCATGAGGATTTTCTAAGAACAGCTCAAATATAGTCATGGCCTGATATGTAAAGCAGTAAGGCTCACAATTTTGAGAGAAACTCACCCAAGTTCATTCAAAGTGAAGTGGGGAGTGGGGCACAATGAGCCCTTGCTTATACCTCACACAGCGGTTAAGTCCACAGCGTAGTTTGTGGTGGGCTTCTTTGGAATCCTGCAGCACTGAGCCAGGTAAATGTCGACATAAGGAATGCCCAAACCTTAGAGAATATTTTGAGTTTATTTGAGGTAATCCTTGTGGAATACTGGTCAAGATGGCAGAGTAGGTAAAAGCTGTGCTTGCCTCTTCTCATGATCACATCGAATATACAACTAAATGACAGAATGACCAAATCTGGAGAACGATATGGAGGCCAGCCAAACAGAAGGGCTATAACTAGGGATATAAAAAAGAAGCCACATGGAGACTGGTAGGGGAGGGAAGAAATGTGAAGTGGGCTGCCCCACACTCGTGTGTGGTGGTTGAGAATTGAGAAGGATATCTCAGCTGCAGAGGTCTTCCCTCAAGGAGAAAGGGGCTCCAGCCTCACATTGGGCTCCCCAGCCCAGAGCCTCAGATGTTGGAAAGTGGAGCCCACACACCTGACTGTGAAAACCAGTGGGGATTTTGTCCAGGTGTGACAGAAGGCTGCTGGAATCCCAAGAGTCCTCTTAAAAAGACAGGCGCACAGACTCGCTGGCAGGAACTTACCCTGGGCTCCAACAGAGGGACAGCAGCCAGGGGCAGGGAGAGGAATGTACAGGGACAAACAAGGTTGTGTGGCTTTGGTGGAGGCCTGGAGGGACAGTTGCCATTGTCCCCGTGTTAAGTCCTTCTCCCACACAGCCAGTTCTGAAACTGCCTTAACCTGGTGAACTCCACTCTCCCCACCTCGAGGACTCCTTGAGGCCTTGCCCCACCCAACTCTCACACCACCAGAGGCTCTGCCAGGACTGGCTGCCTGCCTTGGCCCTCACTGTAGACTTTCTTAAAAGTCTCGAAGGGGCAAGAGGCAGTGGTAGCCAGGGCTGAGGGAAGAGGTCAGACAGTGTGGACTGGTCAGGAATCCACCAGGAATAAGGTGGCCACGGTAAGACACATTTGTATGACAATGTCATCCCTCCATGTGCACTAATGGCAATGCCCCAGAGGACCAGGATGACGTGGGTTCTCTCCCACCAACTGCTGGTGGCAGCGCCACTACAGGAGCAGCACAAAATGTTGCCTGTGTGTATACTAGAAAGAGAACTGCATTATATATTGGAAATCTGACATGATGGAAAACAGAGGAAGACAACTGAATCAGTTCATTCTTTGGGAATAAATCATATTTTGGAGATAAAATTTTTTGTATACTGGGCAGATGGCCAGTCAAAGTGGTTTGTCCTTTTTGGTGTTGGATCTGTTATCTAAAAGAAAATTCATAATCAGGATCCTGTTGCAACTCGATGAGTAAACAGTTCCTGAGTTAATATGAAATGCAGTCCAGGAAAATTACATAGTCAGGACAAATGGCTAGGGAAGTTCAAGCTGCTCCTGCATGGGGCAGTTCAGCTGCAGCATTTCCACAAGGTGGTAGAGGATGGGGCCAATTCAGGGGCTGTTCCCAGTGGTGACACATTTTCTGGGCCAGCAGGACCAGGAGAGCCACTGTCCCCTTTTCCAGCTACACAGAATACATCATGTCTACCCTCAGGTCCTGCAGGCCTACCTGGTCCCCCGGGACATCCATCTCCTGGGCAGGCTCTGTTGCCTTTTTTAGCTGGGTCTCCTAATTGAGAACACCATTCACCACCAGTTCTTTTTCCCAGGCAACTTTTTGGACAGCCTGCATTGGTTTTGCTCCCTCCTGGTCCACCCTCTTCAGTTTCAGGCTGCAGCTGCCCCTCTGGTCCACTTCATCTGTGACAGGGACCACCTG